CTAAGCCTGAGCCTAACTACACCACACACTTAACTGCAAATGTGAACGAACGAAATGCTGTTTTGATTTTACCAACCTGAACTAGAACATTACCCTTTCACCTAAATCACACCTTTATTCTGCTATCGCTACATCCTCATAATCAATTATGTATGAAGAACGCCGAACAATTATTCCACATTCTCATTTCAAATGCTTTATTTATAACAGTGACATTTGTTGGGTAACTTGAAAATAGCCTTTAAAAATGTCGTTTCAGGTGCATACGTTAACAAATAGATGTTGGGATTTATGTTTTCAAGATTATAGACCACCAAGTAAATTGGATGGTAAGACGCAGACTTGCTTAACGAATTGTGTGAATCGTATGATCGATGCAAGTAATTTCATGGTTGAGCATCTGCAAAAGATGGAAACTGGCGGAAGTAGATGATTCGGTCACTCGGTTATTGTTCAGTCAGTGCGTGTAAATGATGACAATCGTTTTGTTGCGTTCTAACGGCTTTACCTCTAAGCGTTATGTTGTTCATGTTCGTAGTTATAATGTTAAATAGATTATCACGTTTCGTTCGGACACACTCATCTCTTGCTGTTAAAATCCCATGAGAAACACGTGAGGTTTTATTATGATCAAGCGACGAGTTTAATAACGATATCAGTCACGCAAATACTCNGTCTCAGAGATCAGAAAACTTTCTCTGAACTGAAATAGCCGTTAAGATTTCTGGTAGGATTGCACAGATTCCGAGGTTGCGAAAAAGGTCATTTGAATAAATATCATCGTTGTTGTTGTAGTCACATAAATAGGTTATTTGTAATATTGTTATTGATGCCGTATGACAATAAATATTATACTGAACATTTTGCTAGATTGTTGCATTGTATGGATGAATCTTCCGAATAAAGTTTTTCTATCCTCAATAATGAAACAGCTTCAAAATATGGTTGTGACCAATGTTCAAATGTAACTCACTTAAATCTTAATGTGTTCTATAAAATTATCAATTCTCCAACAAAAAAGAACCAACACTTGCATAAATTCAAATGAATACCGCGATAAGTTGTCAACAGTGTCAAAAGACATCGATAATTTGTCACGAAGATGTCATTAAATCGACTTCTGACCGTTCAACCTTTAGATATGGACGAGATGAAGGGTAATATCGATCCGCCCAAGCACAAAGTATATCATCGTGCTGATGTAATTCACGGCAAATGTGAAAATACCCCCACAACCGTTCAAGCCGTACAGTTCCACGGCATTAATTCCACCAAAAACGATGCTCTCATCAAAGAAGTCGCCTATCTCTACCAAACAAAGTCCCTATCACAACTCATCAAAAACTCCAACCTTGCTGCCAAACATCTTCAGGTTATTAACTGCTGCAGTTGTATTATTGCTAAACATTATTATTGTTACACAATGAATTCAGGAAGTTGGTTTAATGGAGAATGCCACAGCACTTATTGATACAGTTGACGGTGACCCGGATAGTTATGTGGTGAATTTTGTTGTCAAAGAACCGAAGTCATTTACACTTGGTGTTAAGGTATATTATTTATTGTTATTGTTAGTAATGTTATTTGAAATGAGCAACTGATTAAAGGCTGGAATGACAACTCATGGTGATGCAGATATGATGCTGAACGCGGGTAGACAAAGTTTTGGGGGTCGTGGTGAGACGGTGGATGCATCTTATTCGTATACAATCAAGGTTCACTCCTTTTCTTTTATTATGAGTACAAGTAAGAATATACGAGATTAAATTAAGGGTGATCAAAGTTTCGACATATCGTTATCGAAACCGTTCTTGGGCTGGCAAAGGTATTCGAATGTATCGTTGGCCATTTACCGAAGTCTAGCAACGTTCCCGTGGAATCACTGTGAATCGAAGCAGAACGGCATTCTTTTGCAATATAACGGACAACTCTGTGGCAAAACACTGTTGCACAATATCAAGCTGAACACGGTTCATATTTGTTCTAATAATCGCCTCTGCTCATTAATCTAATTCATTCATCTGAATGTGCACACTCAAGGTATGGCGTAAACTGCAACCCCAACCCGAATGCGCGTTCGCGATTCGCGAGCATGCCGGGCACACCTTGAAGTGCTCGCTCGAGCATTCCGTTGCTTACGATCGACGTAATCGAGCATTAATACCGTCCAAAGGTATCCTTCTCAAATTAGCGCAGGAGTATGCTGGTTTCATTGGTGATGCTGCATTCCTTAGACATCAATTCAATGTCCAGGTTCGTTCCTCTTCTTGATTTCTTTTATATACCTTTTAAACTTACCGAAACTCAAAACTTCAGGCAGCCGCCCCGTTATTTTG